CAGGTGGGGTTTTGACAGGGGGTAACTAAATAATATAAGTATTCATTGTCTGCAGACAGAGCCATGTGTGACTGCTTTACAGAGCACATTTAAAATCAAAGCTTAGATTTTCTGCTTAGGCATTTTCATAGTTAGGCTGCTGAAAAGGCTCATGATTGTCATAAGCGCAACACTAGAGTTGTGTAAATATGTTTCCGATAATAATAATAATAATACTTTTTTAGGTGCATTTTTAATTCCCTACCTGATCCTGCTTGTCCTGGAAGGAATGCCTCTCTTGTTGCTGGAGTTTGGCATCGGCCAGCGTCTCAGGAAAGGCAGTGTAGGAGTGTGGAGGTCCATCAACCCTTATCTGACTGGTATTGGTAAGTTAAATAGGCTCTGAAACAAGTTGTCCAAAGCATAATAAAAAATAAAAAACATCAGTTAATAATTCTGTACTTCTCAGGTATAGCCTCCATGTTGGTGTCCTTATTGATTGGACTGTACTACAACACCTTGATAGCCTGGATTATGTGGTATCTCTTCAATTCCTTTCAAAGCCCGCTGCCTTGGACCCAGTGTCCTCTGAATATCAATGGAACAGGTTGATATAAATACAGAGATACTCATTAAGCACCAAAATCAACTCATGATTTACCCATGAATAAACACTTAAAGAGGACTGTTTCTTGCCCATGCAGGCTTTGTACCAGAGTGTGAACAGAGCTCCACAGTGGATTATTATTATTACCGAGTAACGCTGAATACTTCGGCCTCTATATCGGATTCTGGAGGAATGCACTGGCCCGTAGTGGTCTGTCTGCTAGCTGCCTGGACCTTTATATGTGTCTGCTACATGCAGGGCATTGGCACTTCAGGCAAGGTTTGTCAAACCTTCCGACACACAATATGCTTTCCTGAATAACCACTGTCCAGATTAGTAAATGCTTTTTTCTCCTTTTGTTCTTGACATCAGGCAGTGTACGTCACAGCCATCCTGCCTTACATAGTGCTGGGCATCTTCCTGATCAGAGGACTGACTCTAAAAGGTTCCCTTAATGGAGTAAAGTTCCTCTTCACACCAGATGTATGTATATAATTACTTAAGTTAAATATCTAATGAAAAAATCCACATAATGTAAACCCAAATATTGCAGGTTGATGAGCTGATGAATCCAACAACTTGGCTTGATGCAGGTGCCCAGGTCTTTTATGCCTTTAGCTTAGCTTGGGGTGGTCTCATTTCCTTCTCAAGCTACAACCCTGTTCAGTAAGATATACATCACAAGCCACAAAACTATAATAATGGCAGCCGCTCTCAAACATGCTGTGTCCTTAATCATTTGTCTTTTTTTTGTTTCAACAACAGTAACAACTGCATGCAGGATGCTGTGATCCTCTCGGCCATCACTGGCTTCACCTCTGTGTATGCTGCGACAGTCACCTACACCATTATTGGCTTCAGAGCAACAGCTAAATATGACAAGTGTATCAGTGAGTGAGTAGTCACATGATGTTGCTTTCAATGTTTTTGAAAGATAGCAGTCCTAAAAGTTCAGCATGTAAATGAACAGGACATTTCAAGGTTTTGAAAGAGTTAAGCACATGCTTATATATAAGTTGGAGATGTTATTAGAGATTTGTCATTATGGCGCATTTCCCAATACACGGCCTCGCTCAGTTTGGCTAGGCCTTGTTAGGACTGGCTCACTTTATGGCGCATTACCATTAGGGTTTAGGAACTTAGGGTAATATCATAGGGTAATATGGGTAATATCTATAGTAACGCAGAGTAGGCGGAGCCGTGACGTCATCTTCAATGAGAGCCCAAGAAAAACAACACAGCCGTTAGCCCTCAGAGCTCACAGCTCCTCATATCTGTTCAGAAACTAGACAAAAGTTAAACAAGTACAAACCACAGACTGTCTGTGTCATGGCGAATACAGTCGCTGGTTTATTTATGTCTGTATAGGCCGTTGTTGTGAGTGTGGACGGTCGGAGCATTTACAACGTTAGCTTAGCCAAGCTCCATTTAGAAAACACGCATTTTAAAAGGTTTTTCGCCTGCCGTCTGTCTGCAGACTTGTCAAAGCATTAATTGATGGTTTTGACTAACCGGTATCAGTATGTTGTTACTTAGGCATCATTTTGAAACGTGTATTACAATTAAATCACGGTCAAATATGTTCATCTTGTTGTAGTTGTAGCCCCCTTGCCAGCGATTCTCTCTGCATACTCAGCCCGACTCAGCCTGGTTGTTCCTGGCCCTAGAACCACGATTTTATGGGGCCAGAAAAACTGTGAATTAGGACCCGCTAGCCGGTATGAGGCCAAGTGGAAACGCAACCAAAAACGGGCCCCGCACGGCTCGTTTTAATATAGACAGACAAATCTGAATGTACTATTTTACGTAAATTCCAGTAAACAGGGTATATGCAGGAATCCTGAAGTCAAATGTAATACCTTTTAAGACCTTTTTTAAGACCCTTTCCATACATTTTAAGACCTCATCGCCACTTTGAGTTTTAACCGGTTACATTGGCGAAACATTTACTACATTCAGTATTGATTGTCCTTCCTCCTTATCTTCCAACCATTTGGACGCAAACTTGCATTTCCCCATAACGATGTTGTTTAACAACCGCTTCGTACGCTATCAAGCGGTGAGCGTGCGATGTCCTGTTCAGATGACGTCAAACCCAACGGGATGCCATAAATAAACTACACAGAATCACACTACACACCTACGCAATGATTACATTCAGGCACACTGTAGAATACAATCTCTTTGGACAATTGATATATTTATTGAAAACAAGCTACAAAATGTAATACCTTGGAAAATTCCCTTTAATACTTTTTAATAGCCTTAATTTTCTCTAAATTGATTTATCAACTTTTAATACTTTTTAAGACCCCACGGACACCCTGAGTAAAGCAATGTTTCTTAACGGTGAAATTTTTTCCCTAGAAACATCATGACATTGTCAAATAGATTTGAGCTCCCTGAAGACAACATCACTACAAGCAATTACGAGGCAGCCTTGATTCGTCTCAACAGCTCTTATCCTGATATAGTTCTTGGATTGGAAATCAAAACTTGTGACATGCAGAAACTTCTTAGTGAGGTGACTATATTGATGAATATCGGCCAGATTCCATATTATTTCCTCCTTCCTGCATCATGACTTCTTTGTGTTTGTGCAGGGAGTGGAGGGAACAGGTCTGGCCTTCATCGTGTTCACAGAAGCCATCACCCAGATGCCCGGTTCTCCAGTTTGGTCCGTCCTCTTTTTCGTTATGCTTCTTTGCTTGGGAATCTCAACCCTATTCGGCAACATCGAGGGGGTGGTGGTCCCATTGAAAGATCTGAATATTATACCTAAAAATTGGCCCCAAGAAGCAGTGACAGGTATCTTGTTTTGTGGTTAAACTAAGTTTAGTTTGTCTGATTCTTGCTTTAACTCATGGTTCCTTGTTTTTGTGGGCGTGTGTTTCAGGTGTCACATGTTTTGTAGGCTTCATCATCTGTCTCCTGTTTGCCCAGAATTCAGGGATTTATTGGGTAACACTTTTTGACAACTTTGCTGGATCTGTTCCACTTCTGACCATTGGATTGTTTGAGATGATATCTATTGTATACATCTACGGCATAGACAGGTTAGTGTTTATTCAAAAATATTTCAGCAACACATTGTCCATTTATGTTTCCTTCATCATTTATGTTGATTATTGTTGTATAAAAAGGTCATACAGCATTCGTAGCGTCATGCTTAACCAATTATTGGACAAACCCCTAGGGGTATTGTTGACATATTCAAGTCCTGTTTGATTCATGACTAATTTCAAAACGTACTAAAACCTTTTTGTGTGGCAGGTTCAATGAGGACTTGAAGTTCATGGTCGGACATAAGCCCAACATCTTTTGGCAGATTTCATGGCGGTTCATCAGTCCTCTGGTCGTTCTGGTTATTTTAGTTTTCTACCTGGTGACACAAGTCCAAAAAGAGCTCACCTACTTAGTCTGGGATGTCAACTCGGTAAGCACTCCAGCTCATAAAAGTAATCTTTGATTGTTCATAAATCAGAAATAAGCGTCCCTCCATTTGTTGACTTCTTTTTCAATGATGCTATCTTTGCTAACTAGACAAATGCATGTTGTACCAAGCATAGGTATGATCAATGCTGTTGATAGTACATCGCATAGTGGTAACAACTTACACTGTTTTGTGGTTTACAGGACAACTTTCCATCTCTGGCATCAGTACCGTACCCTTCCTGGATCAATGCCGTCATCTTTCTTTTGGCAGGAGTCCCTAGTCTGGCAATACCTGTATATGCATTATGTAGATTCATCTTTGTTCACTGCAAGAAAAAATAAAATCCAGTTAAAGAATTAGCTAAGTTTCTGCATTGATTATCAAGTCATAGATTTCAGAGTGTAATAAAAATAAAATAATGTTTTGCTTATTACCCTCCGTCTGATATGGTCCGTTTTCTTTAAACCCCTCCTTCCAAAAAGCAAAGTCTGCGCTGATTTGTTAAGGCTGTTGGTCTCCACATCTTTGCTGGCAACATGAATGTAACCAGGGAATAACTGTAAACAAGTTAAACTGCAGCTGTACCCTGAAATCACCACAATAAAAAAGCATCTGAACCAAAACTTTACACACACATTTTCTAGCTGGAATCTGATCAGAAAGCCTACATTTGACTTTGAATTTAGCTTGTGTTGTGACAAACCATTAAGTTACATTTCCTGGAGTTTTGAGAAAATCCAAGTCTTTGTTGCTGCAAAAGGAGACGCGTTGGTTTCCCAAGAGCCTCCAACTATACAAGAAATACTAGAACTGCAATGTTGCTGCTAAATTGTGTTACTAACAATTATTACAGTTACACAGTAGACTATTAAAAGTGTATCTGTTTGGCCAGCTTTCGGGACTGAGTAAGTTACCAACTTTGAATCAAAGCAAATTCACACAATTTGACCTTTCATTTATAGGAATTGTCCCTTCAGGAAGTGTCTATCAAGTAACTCTATGTACGCACAGTATGACAACATACATAACACACACAGGCATACAATCAAGAGTCAGGGATGGGAAAGGTTTTTGTGTAACAACAAAGCTAGTTGAGTTTGCATTGCAGTTAACACTTCAACCTACTACTGACTTTCCTGGCTTCAAATGTTCGACAGTCACAGAGTGTCTCTCAGTATTACATAACTGTTAATCCAGTATTGCCCCTGTGGGCGGACCTACAATCAAAGCTATCCACATTAACCACACAACATGCTAAAGCTAACTCAAAGGGTAACATGCATAATAAAAACTTAAAAAACATAGAAATGCCAAAAATGATAGCTTCCAAGTTTGAAATTGGGTAACTGACTGACAGCCTGGTGTTATTTAAAGTTCTTTCCGGGATCTAGTTGTAGTTTTTTGCAGATGATGGGAGAACATGAAGACTTTTATATTGGTTCTTGTATCAACAACATAAAAAGTAGAGGGATTTGCTTGTACAGTGTTACAGCAATGAGGAAATCACAATGTACATACTGTATTTATGTGTACATACATTGGATCATATGTCATATTTTAATATATTTATATACTGTATATGTAAATACAGTATATCAATATATATATAGTCTGTGGTGCGTTTAAGTGCAACCTTCAAAACGGTGGTTGTATCCAGGTCCTAACCATGAATACCATATCAAACATGTAGAGCAGCAAATTAGCCAAAAGAGGGAGACATCACATTGATACTGAGGCAAAATGGCCAAGTGAATCCGATTTAACAAAGCACCACAAACGGAGCAAGCGAGAATAAACTGCATTTGATGGATATATTTGGATTCACCACTACCAGCAGCTGGTACATATACAGTAAAAAAAGACTGTTAAACACCTGAACTAAGAACATCCATAACATTCACCTGTTTGTAACTTACAAATGATGTATCACTTGTACATAGACCCTCATGGCACTACTTCTATTCTATTTTATTGTATTTACTTGCACTATTGTATCTGTTTTATTGTGTTGCACTGTTGGAGGAGCTTGGGACCTAAGATTTTCATCGACAAAACTACACTGTAGCTATGTACGAATGACAATAAAAAAACCTTGAACACTGAGAGAAAGGAAAAAATCAGTTTGTGTCTGTCTACTTTGCTGTGTAAGGAAGTGTTAGTAATTGTATGAAGATATGGCTCCATCAAGAAACAGCGTTCATTTTGTCTATTGTATTGACTGCATCCAAACAGGTCACTTAAGGCAAGTGTTACATTGAAACAGCATCAGCAGGGTATCCATTATTTTAGGCTTAGCACACTCCCATTTCTGAAGAAAAAAACAGGGAAGTTCAATCACAAAATCATTATGCCTGATTTTTTCCCTCCCTCTCCCTGGTTAACTTGACTTCTTCATAAAAAAACAATAAAATAAATCTGTAACTTTTATGACGTGAAAGGACAGTAGGACAGACCTAGTGAGTAAGACAGAGGACGAGGAAGTGCACTGGACATCACCTAGACTATACAAGGCAGTATATTTTTACATACACTGAGCTGAGATCAGGAGAATTGTGGACAGATACAAATATATTCTAGTGTTTGTTAGGAATAGGAGAGTTGCACCCTTGCAAGAGAAGCGGAATTTTGCTAAACCTTTTTACCAGCTAAGGATGGGCAAAACAAAAGACTCTGAGGTGGAGGAGAGACCCAAATGGGACAACAAATTTCAGTACATGCTGACATGTATCGGCTTTGCAGTGGGACTTGGAAACATCTGGCGTTTTCCTTACCTGTGCCAAATCTATGGAGGAGGTAAGATTATATGATTCTATCAGCACTATATGTGCTATATGTGCAATATATATATATATATATATGCCGTTAATAACTGTGCAATATATACCTGGCTGCTAAATCCTAAGAACTGTTACAGGATGTGTATTTTGTAAATGGTGTAACTTTTTTGTTTTTGTATTATATTTTTTATTTTTACTTTAATACTTTTTAATGTATGTAACATATGTAACATTAAGCTGTCTGTGGCTCTTTTTCTGCTGTAACAACGTACATTTTCCCTCTGTGGGACTAATAAAGGTATTCTGATTCTGATTATCAACATTATATTTCCCTGATCTTAAATCACACAATAGTTTAATTTTGTTTGCTTTTCAATTAACTTTATACCTCGTTTTTTTCCCAGACTATTCAATACAAAACATGAGATACTGAATTAATTGAAATAAATACCTTAGATTCTCTCTTCACAGCATTTATTAGTCATTAACACATGGACAAACAGTCATTGTCACATTGGTGAATCTTATCTGTGTATGGTGAATGGGGTTATCATCACAGATTTGTTTCGGTCAACTGACCCAATTTCTGTATTTACTTTCTCATAGTTCCTAGTTAGATAGTTTGTGTTGTCGCAATAGAATACCAAAGAATCTAAGTAAGAGGTAAGAAAACAGTTAATTCTGTACATTTCTTTTTCTCATGTTTTTCTGGACGTCCTATTTTTACTTATTTAGCATGGCCTGAACTATCCCCTGTTATGACCATTATGATTAGATGATAAGAAAGTAGTTGTCCACTGTTTCACTAAGATCTTTTGCTGTGTTGATAAACCTAATTTATCAGACGGTCCTATCTGGCTCTAATTGTGCAGTATCTGTCTTCAGGTGCATTCCTCATCCCCTACCTGATAGCGCTGGTGTTTGAGGGCCTCCCTCTGCTCTACCTGGAGCTGGCTATAGGACAGAGGCTCCGCATGGGCAGCATCGGCGTCTGGAACTCCATCTCACCGATGCTGGGGGGACTCGGTGGGTGGCCTAGAATTATAAGGGGAATTTAGGATTACTTGTCACATTTTTCAATATTTTAAGAGCTTTTTATCAGTATGAAAAATGTAATTTATTCCCTGTGTGTAGGAGTTGCCTCGATGATAGTGTCATTCCTGGTGGGCATTTTCTACAACACCATCCTGGCCTGGGTGCTCTGGTACTTCTTTCACTCTTTCCAAAACCCCCTGCCCTGGAGCAAGTGCCCGGTCAATGCTAACCTCACAGGTAAACTACATACGTTACTGTCACACACTAAGAAAGCTACTACCACAGTGGTAGAAATATTGCCTATAACGATATATAAAAAATACAATGTATCAAATTGGGTTTGAGATAGTGGCGTAATTATAAAGCAGTTACAAGAGGACTCATCAGGCTCCACATTGCATTCCATGTCAAATGTAATGAGATAATGGCTGTTTTTTTTGTTTTATGGCCCAAAGAGATTCTTCAATACAACATTAAATAACTAAAAGGGAAATCATTGAGCACAAACTTCCGACAATGCTATCTCCATAAGTGAAATATAATGTGTATGACTCAACATTTGATGGGTTTTTATCTTGGCTTATGACAAACCTTTCCTACAAGTTTCAGCATAATGGAGCCATTAGTTCTATTTCGTATATGGCTTCGCCCTCTAAGGCTATCGCTATTGGGTAATCCCCCCTGCGCAGCACTGAAAACACTTGTAGTCCACGCCCGCCCGCAAGGTGGGCCCCACCCTCGGGCTCCCTTCCGGTATAAATAGGAAGGAGGCCCGACAATCAGCTCCCTCTTTTCTTCAGCACCCCGTTACTGAAGCACAAGAGACACTTCAATTGCAGAGTAAACATGAGTAACAATTGTGTGAGAGATTGTCCCTCATGTGGCTCTTGGTTCATAATGACTTTTCGCGGGTGCAGACGTTCAGGAGTGACCCGATCTGGCCACGCTTCTCAGCCATCAGGAGGTTCCAGGAGGGGGCGGCAGCGAACCCGAGGACCCTGAAGGCTCCAGTGGCCACATTTGTTCCCCTCACCTCTTGGTGGAGGGGTTCACAGATGCTGGTTTTCCAGCCGGCCCCTCTCTGGAGCCGAGCCTGACGGCGTTTTTTTGGGGTCAGACAGGCCAAAATAATCGCCGGACGTCGCCCTACGTTGAGCGCCCTACGTTGAGCGCCCTACGTTGAGCGCCCTACGTTGAGCGCCCTACGTTGAGCGCCCCCAGAGAGAGAAAAAGAACGTCTGCTGCAGCCGCGGCGTCCACACTGGCCACAGCGGCAGCAGAGGCCGCAAGCGGAGAGACGCCCACAGCAACCGCCTCAGCGTCAGACTCGCCCTTCGGCGGCTGCAGGGGCTCCGTCCCACGTCTCCGCTCCCCCGCCTCCCCAGAGACAGCGTCTCCCGGCGGCTAGTCAAAGGGGAGTGAGGCTCCCCCGCTCCTGGTCTGCTCTACGAGAGCCTCCGAGGAAGCAGAGCCGGTTCTGACGTTCTGGGGGTTGTGAGTAAAATAAAGTGTGTTCATTTTTCAACTTTTTGTACTGAGTCATCAGTAACAAGTGTTTCTCACATATCCCCCCTGTGTAAGCCAGCTGCCTACAACTATCGGTTACTAGCCAGCAGGGCTCGTTGCAAAAGCCTGCAGGTTTTAACCTCGGTTAATAACCTGCAGAGCTCGCGGCATTCCTCTGTCCGAGATACGCCTCCTACACACGGTCATAATAAACCCATGAGCGCCGTTATAACGCCTCATGTGAACAGCACTGCACACACCTCCACTCATCCCCTGAGCGTCTACGTGCCTCATGATGAGAGCTGGAGTGAAACGCAGCGTGTGGAGGCTCCCTCGCAGCCCTTTCGCCTCACGGGCAGCGGTGGCGAGGGCAATGGTGTGCTCGTCACCATGACGACCATTACATCACATCACAGAGAAGCCAGAACGGGGGAATGACAGGGCTCGCAACAGAAGCCTGCTGGTTTTAACCTGTCGGTTAAACTGTCGAGCTCGCTAATTAAGCCAGTTGCCACTGACCTGTCGTTAGCAGGGCTCGCTACCAGTGTTGGGCAAGTTACTTCCAAAATGTAATATATTACATATTACTTATTACTCTCTTTTGAAAGTAATAAGTTACATTACAATATTACTGTCTCTGAAATGTAATGAGTTACACTACTTGTTAGTTACTTTCACCAAAATAACCGCAAAAGAATAGCTAGCAGTGGCGGCCGGCCCATAGGGGCGCCAGGGGCGCCGCCCCCCCTCTTCCCACATGTTTGATTGTCATTAAAAATTAAAAATAAATAAAAATATATATTTCCAAAAAATATATTTTTAAATTTTTTTATTTTATAGGTAAATATTATATAGTTGGTATCAGTCAAATGTATAATCTACAATAAAATCTCGTTTAAAATTGTTTTACGATGTCTAAAGTTACTGATAAGTCACATGTTTCCTGCCTGGCCGCAGCGTGTATCATNCCGGGCTTGCTTGCAGAAGCCTGCTGGTTTAACCTATCGGCTTAATTAACGTGGCAGAGCCTCCGCTAATTACGTCGGGCTGCCACTAATCTGTTGATTAAGTAGACAGCAGGGCTCGCTGCAGAAGCCTGCCGGTTTTAACCTCGGTTAATAACCTGCAGAGCTCGCGGCATTCCTCTGTCCGAGATACGCCTCCTACACACGGTCATAATAAACCCATGAGCGCCGTTATATATAACGCCTCATGTGGGCAGCACTGCACACACCTCCCCCGCGCAGCCCTTTCGGTCCAAGCCCACCTTGGGTTGCCTCCCACCCTGTGTAAACCAGCCGCCTATAACCTGTCGGTTAATAGCCAGCAGGGCTCGTTGCTAAAGCCTGGTTTTAACCTGTCGGTTAATACATTTCAGAGCGCGCTAATTAAGCCGGCTACCACTAATCTGTTGATTAGTAGACAGCAGGGCTCGTACACACGGCCATAATAAACCCATGAGCGCCGTTATAACGCCTCATGTGGGCAGCACTGCAAACACCTCCATCCATCCCCTGAGCGTGTACGCGCCTCATGATGAGAGTCGGAGTGAGACACAGCGTGTGGAGGCCCCCGTGCAGCCCTTTCGGTCCAAGCCCACCTTTGGTTGCCTCACGGGCAGCGGCAGGGGCTCTGGCGTGGCTCGTCACCTAGACGAGCAAAAACACATCTCGAGTACAGCAGCGCGTGTGTCTGATGGACAGATGGATGAGCAGGCTGATCAGCAGAGGATACGTCCTGCAGTTCGCCTCCCCCCCCCCCACAGTTCAATGGGATACAGGAAACACTCCTGTCCTCCCAGAAGCTATGTCTTGCGCTCCAATCAGAGCTGCAGGAACTCCTGTTGAAAGACGATATTTCCAGGGTTCCTCAAGGGGAAGAAAATCAGGTGCTGGAATGTGTTCACCAGGACGACTGGTTCACTTCCACCTGAAGGATGCATACTTCCACGTACCCATCATCCCGAAACAAAGGAAATTCCCGCGTTTCTCATTTCAGGGAATATCAGACCAGACAATAGTCTGCCGTTCGGATATTTCCTGGCACCTCGCATTTTTGTGTATAGAAGGCTGGAGCCACTACACAGAGGAGGGATGAGTGTGTTTTCCTCTGGACGACCTGCTATTTGCTGGCTCGCTTTACAGACGTTACATTTCCTATCGCATCTGTCAAAGCCTGGGATTTCATAATGAATTGGAAGAAAAGCTGTCCTCTTCCCTCTCAGACAATCGTTTATCTGGAAATAAACTCAGCCAGCAGAGCACGGCTCTTGCGGCAGTGAGTGGAGAAACTGACAGCTCTCCTCTGGCGTGTCACAAACCCGCACAGCCCTCTCCGTGACGCAGCTGCTCGGCGTTGGCGTCAGCTGGTGACGTGGGGATCCCCCTGGGTCTCCCCCACAGGAGGAGTCTCCAGAGGTGGTTCATTCGCCCGCTCGTCGACCCCGTGCGTCAGAGGTAAATTTGCTGGAGCTGTTCTCCGGTTTGGGAAGTATTCTAGCACTTCGCCCTGTTGCTGTACAATCAGACATGTGTTGATTTGCACAAACAGCAGGCCACGGCAGCCTACCTCAATCGCAAGGGAGGAGTACGATCTGCGCAGCTTCTGAACGCAGCCAGGCGGCTGCTGTTCTGGGCGCGCACACACGTTGCTCTCCGTCAGAGCAATGTATATTCCCGGCGAATTGAACAGAGGGGCTCGCAGAGCGCAGCAGCCGTTTTATGCGAGGAGTACGGAGACTCAGACCTGTGTCACGCACACTGGCGGGTCAGTGGGATTTGGCTTTGGTGTTACGCACACTAAAGCAAAGCCCCATTTGAACCTTTAGACCAGGTTCCCCTTAAACTGTTGTCAGCCAAAGTAGTATTACTTTTGGCTCTAATAGCAGCGAGAAGGGTGAGTGATTTGTCTGCTCTCTCTGTGGTCTCCGTCATGTCTCCGGATCCAAGGAGATGGCAGTTCAGCTGTTTTACGCCCTGACCCGGCTTCATGCCTAAGGTCATCACAAGCTCTTTTAGAGTCGAGAGTGATCACCCTAGCTGGCTTATTCCCCCCTCCTCACAGGTCGGAGGAAGAAGCCACGTCTCGTCTCATCTCCTCTGTCCTGTGCGCGCGCTGTCCTGCTAGTGGCGCGCACGGCTGCCTTGCGCCGTTCTCAGCGCCTGTTTGTGCATTATAGAGAGCGCTCGATCAGGCAGCCTCTGTCTGCACAACGCCTGTCACACTGGCTGTGTGAAGCTGTGTCACAGGCATATGTCTCCTCATGGGGTGGATCTCCCGGAGAACATCAATGCGCACTCACACCAGAGGAATGTTCCTCCTCCACGGCTTTGCACGGAGGAATGTCAGTGGAAGACATTTGCACTGCTGCATCTTGGTCTCCCCCCTGTTCATTTATTCAATTGTATTTAAGGGATGTCTCTCATTCCTCTCTGACGCACCCTGTACTGAGTGGCCTGTCAGAGTGAGTGACGTCAGGGATCCAGCTGTGCGCCTCTCTCCTGCCTCTCGGCACGCAGAGAGCTGCTGTTCCCCCTCTTTTTGTCACTGGGCAAAGTATGACCTTCGTTTCTACTTTTTCACAGCAGCAGGTATGGATTGTCGGGCCTCCTTCCTATTTATACCGGAAGGGAGCCCGAGGGTGGGGCCCACCTTGCGGGCGGGCGGGCGTGGACTACAAGTGTTTTCAGTGCTGCGCGGGTGCGCAGGGGATTACCCAATAGCGATAGCCTTAGGGCTACGCCAATAATCATAGAAGCTGGAGTTACAGTAGGTAACTTCAGTTTCAACCAAACAATCCAATCAACAAACCAACACAATACCAACTAGTATGACTCTCTGAGAGCACTGTACTTCGCCAAGTCAAATTATGGATTCTGTTGGAGGGTCCCAATTCCTGTGTTGTGAAGTTGTTCTTCCGACTTTGGTGTGTTTATGAGCTTAGATTCGAAAAGTGAAAACAACACGGAGTGCTGTGTTTAATTGCTCAGAACCATCAACCCTACATTTACTTTCGTCATGTTTCTGCACAATATCATATCAACTCTGAAACCTCCAAAACCTTGACCAAAAGTCGTCATTGTTGTTCCGAACTAAATTGGTGTTGCCATAGATGTTATCAGTTGGGAACTCATTTGTTTTTATATCCTACACCACATGAATGCAGTACAAATGCACATTTTCATGTTAACGAAACTGATGAACAATTTGAGGATCCCCTCCAAAATGTAGTGGATTATTACTTGGCCAATGACACACCCTACCACAAGGTTTCCTGAAAGTTGGGACAGTAGACTATCTGTTATCCTACTGGCAAACAAATCAACCAAGCCAAATACATTACCTCCTTGGCTGGGACAAAGGCCAATGCTGCAATTCTTTTTCACTAATGTGCATCTTTACAGGCTATAATGAGGAGTGTGTGAAGAGCACTCCGGCGAACTACTTCTGGTACCGTGAGACCCTGAACATCACACCTGACATTGAGACCAGCGGCTCCCTGCAATGGTGGCTAGTCATCTGCCTGGCCAGCGCCTGGTCTGTGGTCTACATCTGCTTTATCAGAGGCATCAAGTCAATAGGGAAGGTCGGTTTTCCTGGGAAAAAAATAAAAAAATAAAAACAAGCGTCACCAAAAGTTAAAGATGGCTGTATTGTTTGTATGTTTCAGGCTGTGTATGTGACAGCCACATTCCCTTACCTGGTGCTGACTATTTTCCTAATCCGGGCTCTCACTCTGCCGGGATCTACTGATGGACTGGTGTACCTCTTCACTCCTAAAGTGAGTGTGTTGCTACTAAAGGTGATGTCAAGAGTACCCGACGGACACAATGAACTGATGTGTTGACTCTGTCTGCAGTGGGAGATCCTGAAGAACCCTCAGGTGTGGCTGGACGCTGCCACTCAGATCTTCTTCTCTCTCTCAGTGGCCTTTGGAGGTCTCATAGCTTTCTCCAGCTATAACGAAGAGAGGTAAGGACTAGAACTCACTTGACTCACACATTTGAATGACTTGTGTGACTTGTTTCCTCTTCTTTGTCCATTAGGAACAACTGTGAGAGGGATGCTGTTGTAGTAGGAGTAATAAACAGCGCCACATCTCTCTACGCCTCCATTTCCATCTTTGCCATTCTGGGTTTTAAAGCTACAAACGGCTTAAATTCCTGTCGCAATGAGTATGTACACGTATATATTCAGTGTCATTCTTAAAAAATGGTTTCCTTCAATTTGATAGCAATAAGGCAGTTATTTTTTTATTCAATCTGCAGAAACATCATGTCTCTGACAAACCACTTTGAGTTTTCGGACCAGAACATAACACTGGAGAACTATAATGACTGGTTTGAGTATTTAAATCGCACATCTCCAGATGACTTGGCCAGTTTGAACATAAAGCGCTGTGAACTTCAAACATTTCTTGACCAGGTACAGTTAGTATGAAAACACAGCCAATCTCACATATTGCATTATTTTTGCTTGAGTGTGTTTTTTTCTTAATTTCCCTCTTCCCTTAAATCCTTATCCTCCTTTTGCCACCCCTTCCCTTTCCCGGAGTGCAGTACATCCTCTGCTGGTACAGTCAGTTCATGTTTACTCCTTCATTTCTCGCCTCTCTTTCATCTTCCTCCCCCAGAGCGCATCGGGTACCGGCCTGGCTTTTATTGTGATCACCGAAGCAGTGATAGAGATGCCAGGCTCGCAGATATGGGCGATACTGTTCTTCGTCATGCTCTTCAGCTTGGGTCTCTCCTCCATGTTTGGCACCATAGAGGGAGTCCTGACGCCCATCAATGACCTCAAGCTAGTGCCAAAGTGGATCCCTAGTGAAGTCGTAACAGGTACCTGCAAATAGAGCTGTATCTCAATATTGTGTTGGATATCTTAATATAGCGTGTAAAGTGTTGTCTTATATGGGTTTTAAAGATTGCATTATAGTATATATATGGTACCTTCTAAGTTGTTATTATTGGGTCTGGGGGGGTCCTAAAACCCTAGGGTTAAACCCTAACCCTAACATGTCACCCATCTCCTTCACATAGAGTTGATCAGGTTGTTGATTGTGGCCTGTGGAATGTTGGTCCAATCCTCTTCAATGGCTGTGCGAAGTTGCTGGATATTGGCAGGAACTGGAACACGCTGTTGTATACGCCGATCCAGAGCATCCCAAACATGCTCAATGGGTGACATGTTAGGGTTAGGGTTTAACCCTAGGGTTTTCGGACCCCCCCAGACCCCCCCAATAAAGCAAAACTGCACGTTTCAGAGTGGCCTTTTATTGTGGCCAGCCTAAGGCACACCTGTGCAACAATCATGCTGTCTAATCAGCATCTTGATATGCCACACCTGTGAGGTGGGATGGATTATCTCGGCAAAGGAGAAGTGCTCACTATCACAGATTTTTTCAGATTTGTGAACAATATTTGAGAGAAATGGTTATTTTGTGTATATAGAAAATGTTTTAGATCTTTGAGTTCATCTCATGAAAAATGGGAGCAAAAACAAAAGTGTTGCG